CAAAGCAGTGAGGGCAGTGGTTCTGAGCTCCTGGGCACTCTAGAGCACTGCCATGCCCTGGTCACCAGAGGGCGCTGTGGGGCAGCAAGCAGTGGAGGCCCCAGCTGGTGGCAAGGCCATGCATATACTATGTGCACCGCTGTGCCTGTGGGTTGTGTCTGTGGACGTGCCCATGTGGTGCCTCCACATGCACATACACACTTGTGCACCCCCTTGTGTTCATGTGTGTTTGCGTGTGTATTTGGGATGTGTGGACTAGCACAGGTATGAAGGGGCACGTGGGAGTGAGCACGTCCAAGGGGTGTATATAGGTGAGAACAGGGGCCCCTCAGCTCCCACCACCCAGCCACATCGGTCTCCTTGTTACTCACCTACAAGCCATCCACCTCAGGGCACTTGCACAGCTGTTCCCTCTGCCTGGAATGCTTCTCCCCCACATATCCTTGTGGGCCCTTCCCTTACGTCCTTTGGTCTCTGCTTATATGGCACCTTCCAGGGAGGCTTTTCCTGACCTCCCTCCTTAAAATTATAGCCCCCATGTCCAGACACACACCCTGTCCCCTACCCTACTTTTCCCCATAGCATTTTTTTTTTTTTTTTTTTTTTTTTTTTTTTTTTTTTGAGACGGAGTCTCGCTCTGCCGCCCAGGCTGGAGTGCAGTGGCCAGATCTCGGCTCACTGCAAGCTCCACATCCCGGGTTCACGCCATTCTCCTGCCTCAGCCTCCCGAGTATCTGGGACTACAGGCGCCTGCCACCTCGCCCGGCTAGTTTTTTGTATTTTTTAGTAGAGACGGGGTTTCACCGTGTCAGCCAGGATGGTCTCGATCTCCTGACCTCATGATCCGCCCGTCTCGGCCTCCCAAAGTGCTGGGATTACAGGCTTGAGCCACCACGCCCGGCCTTTTTTTTTTTTTTTTTTTTTTGAGACAGGGTCTTGCTGTCTGCCAGGCTGGAGTGCAGTGGCATATCCTTGGCTCACTGCAGCCTTAATCTCCTGGGTTCAAGTGATCCTCCCACTTCAGCCTCCCGAGTAACTGGTGCATACCACTATGCCCAGCCAACTTTTTTTTTCTTTTTGTAGAGACGAGGTTTTGCAATGTTGCCCAGGCTGGTCTCAAACTACTGGGCTCAAACGATCCACCTGCCTTGGCCTCCTAAAGTGCTGGGACTATAGGTGTGGGCCACCACGCCTGGCCTGTCATAATTTGACTTAGGCATTTTGCTTGTCTGGCTCACACACCAGGGCATACCTCCCCAGGGAGCTGTGCCCATCTTGTTCAATGTTGTGTTCTCAGTTCCGGTCACACAAGTAAGTGCTCAACGAATACCTGTTGAATGAATGAAGGAGCTGCCCACATCCTGGGCTTGGGTCAGCCTCTCTCTCTTTCTCTCTTTTTTTCCCATCATCAATATTTATTGAGCATTTACAGTGTACTAAGCAAAATAGAACATACAGAAAACATTGTCCCTGCTCTTGAGGAGCTTACATTCTAAAAGAAAAAATACAGCTCTTTTAAAATGGCATTTTTGTTTGGTATTTTCTGCAAAGCACCAAGGAAATATTTTGTAAAGTGAGCTTTGGGTATAACTTAGCCCCATCATTATTTAGAGAATAGAGGAAGAAGAAAGAGGAAGGATTTTAAAGGCAGACAATGACAGACCATTCAGGATAGGTAGGGTTTTAAAGGGAGATCAACACAATGTCATCAACTAAGGAGAGATTTGCTGCAGTAAATAGGATGAGGGAAATAGTCTGTGGGGTGCAAGCAAAGGAAGCAGGGTGTCGTAGACATTGAGTGGAGCCAAAAAGATCATGCGGCCTTTTTCCAAGTATGTGGCCACCAAGTACGAATGGTTGGTGACAAGACAAAAGGCTAAAAAAGGAAGGTAATCTCGTGCACCTGACAAATAGAAAGACTAAAGGATCAAAATCGAAAGCAGGCTCTAAGAGTATCAAGAAATTCTTAAAAACCCACAAGTGATTTGGAAGCACAAAACTTATAGTTAATGCTATTGAGTCAGCCTCTTTCTACAGCCTTCTGTCACCCCAGGTCCTGTCCACCTCAGATCATGCTTGCATCCTGACTTTGGCCACAATCCTTCCCATCCAGAGACTGAGTTTCCTGCATCCGCAGACAGCGGGTTTGGGACTTTTCTCCTAGGAGTCAAGGTAAGAGGCAGCCTCTTGTGACCCATGTCAAACATTTCTTCTGATTTCTGCATGGTCATGGAGTTCCCCAGCCTTACTGTGCCACTTACAGACAGAAAGAAATCAAGAGATGTCACTATAGCAAGCCGGCAAGAGACCTTTGTCTCTGATGGTCCTTGATCGTACTTCTTGAGCTGCAGCAATGCAGCTGTGCATCCCAGTCTGGCCCCTCACCCTGTCCTCATGTGTGGCCCTTTTTACATCTCCAACCCATTGCCTCTGCTGTTCCTTTCCAGCGATGCTCTTCTTGCCTCTCTGCCTGGCAAGCTCCTACTGGTCCTTAAAGTTCCAGTCTCAAAATCACCTCCTCTGAGAGGCCTTCCCTGACCGCACCCAGATGGAGATGCCTGCATCACCCAGGCACCCTACTGGGACTTTTGCTCATGCATCTATTTATAGCACTCACATGGAGTTTTGTGATTCCTGGGCTGTTTATCGGGCTCCTGACTAATCTACAAACTGCTTGTTTGCAAGGGCCCGTCTGAGTCATCTGGCTGCCAAGGAGGTTGGCACGGGACTGGAGTCGCTTCACCCTGGTCTGTGGATGCTTTCCTCCTTCCTTTTTTCATTCCTCAAATATTTATCAGGCACCTACTATGTACCTGGTTCTGGGCTGTGTATTGGGAACACAGCAGGGAATGAGGCGCAGATGGTCTGGAGGGAGAGCTGTGTTAAAAACTGAGTCAGTGACAAAGGCATCAGCAGCATGAGTGTTGTGCCTCAGTTTGGGGACCTGGGAAGGGAAGGTCCCCAAACTGATGGGAAGGCTTCTTAGGCGTGTTCATTTAGGAGGCAGTCTGAGGGATGAGAGGGAACCAGCCCCAGGAGGCTTGAGTGGAGGAATGTTCTGGGTGGAAGCAGCAAGGGTGAAGCTCCTGCAGCAGGACCATCACTGGCACATTTGAGGGGCAACACTAAGACTCTTGAACATCCCAAGGAGCAGAGTGCACAAGGCAGAGTGTCGGGGAGCAGAAGTCAAGGCTGTTGGCCGGTGCCTGAATCCAGAAAACTTGCTGGACCAGCCTTTCAGTTCTGGTAGAAAGGAAACTGCTACTGGATGCCCATTTTATGGATGGATAAGCGCAGGTCACCAGGGATGATACGGCCAGGATGGAGGCAGCCAACAGTGTTTTTGAACTCACATTTCCCGGGCACTTAGTGAGGGCCAGGCCCTAGGCCAGGTGTTCCCACTCCTGAACTCATGAAATGCTTTCAGAGACCTTCTTGTCCCCATGGGATAGGTAAACTGAGGCACAGAGCTGCTCAGTGACTTCTTTAAGGACATCCAGCTAGTAAGTGGAGGAATTGGTATTGGAACTCACACCTGTCTGAGCCCCAGACTCATGATTTTCCATCCCACTGCCTGTGAACAGGAGACGCAGGAAGAGAATGGTGATGGCTGCAAGGCTTCCCTCCTATCTCATGTGGCCCTCCCCACTCTGTGTGCATGGGGCCCTGCATCACCCCCACTTTACACCTGGGCAAGCAGAGGTCAGGCCCGGCCTCAAGCGTTTCTAGCAGGTGGTGGAATCTGCTTCCCTCACGTGAGGTCCCCGACAGGGTACACACTCATGTCTGCCTGGAGGCCAGGGGCTGACCCCTTGACCTTTGCCTGGTACCTTCTGCCTTCACTAGCCCTGACTTTACATCCAGAGTCATCTGATTCCAGCGCCAGATTGGTCAGCGGTTCCTGAAATCCCCCAAGGTTCCGTGTGGGAGCAAAGAGAGGACTGGTCCATCCAGCCATTATACAGATGGGCAGACTGAGATCTTAGGAGGAGAGGAGAGAACCAAGGTCCAGGAGAGAGCCAGGATGGGGCCTCCGGGCTCGTGGGATAAAATGCACCGCATGCTGCCTCACTCCCTCTGAGACAGTTTCCCCCGGTGTAGAACAGGGGCAGCAACAACCAGCCACGACAACTCCTCGTGCTGCCTCGTCACCGGGCATCGCTGAGCTCACCACCAACCCCGCGCCCTGGCCGGGCGCCTGGAGCGCGGGCGCGGGCGGACGTTTGCTGGCGCCGGGCCCTCAGTGCGTGTCAGCGAGCAGCGCCGTCAGACGGCTGTCACCGCCGCCCGCTCACAGATGCGTAGACTGAGGCTCAGGTGTCACGACCTGACCAAGGCTAGTTCCGCTACAAAGTTGCCGACTCGGATCTGAACCCGGGTCAAATTTACAGAAAAGGAAACTGAAGCCCAGAGACACCAGGGAGCTTGCTGGGGTGAGGCAGCTGCAGGTTCAGAGAGCCAGGAGGCAGCCCAGCAGCGCACTTTTAACCCCCGCCCGCCTCGCCAGGCCCAGCCGTGCCACCTTTAGGGATCTCGGGTTTTTTCCAGACGACGCACCCGGGAGAACGCGCCCACTCATCGCACCCGCCGGGGCTGCGCGTCTGGGGGTGCTGGGCGGAGCCTGGCGCTTGCAAGGAGCAGCGGGCTCAGTGGGTCCCGGGAGTGGGTGGGGCTTGCGTGTTGACGGGCAGCGCGAGGGGCGCGGCTTTAGTCCAGGTGGGCGGAGCCTGACCGGACTTGGGTTTTTCGGGCGGCTGGCAGACTTGACAGAGAGCGGGAGGGGCCCGGATCCTGGGCCCACGGAGGGTGGGGCGTGTAATTGACAGGCAGGGACAGACCGGCGTCTGATAGGCAGGGGACGGGCCTTGGAAACGAAAGGGCCAATCGGACACGCAGGGGCGGGGCCTGAGTCAGCGCCGTTCGGCCGGGGTCCCCCCGGCGCTGCCCAGTCTGGCTCCGGCGCCGCCCGTCGCGGACTCGTCCTTGCAGTAGTCGCCGCCGCCGCCTCTGCTCCTCCGCCTGGCCCGGGCCGTCTGCCCGCAGCCATGAGCGTGCTCGGCCCCGGTGGAGCCCGCAGTCCTCTAGATTAGTCCCCACCGCCGTCCAGGACCCGCTTGCAGCATGGAGTCGCCCGCCTCAAGCCAGCCCGCCAGCATGCCCCAGTCCAAAGGTAGGCGATCCCGGCCGGAACCTCGGCCTGACCCCGCGCCCAATCTGGGGCCGGGCTGCAAACCCCGACCGAATTTCTTTGGTCCCACCCCATCCTGTTCTCGACCTGGCAGCGGCGTCCGGTCCCGGAACCCCTTCCTGTTCGGGGCCCCGGGACCGGCCGCAGCCTGGGTCCTCACCTGGACCCCCAGGTTAGGCCTTGGGACTGCATTCAGGCCCGAGATCACCCAGGCTGGACCCAGACTAGGACTTTGTTCTGCTCACCCCATCCAAGTCAGGAGCCTCACTCTGACCTCATTTGGGCCTTATGGCTGTAGCCTGGACAGGAACTCTCTCAGTCTTCTCCCTCAGAGGGACCCAGGTGAGATTCACACTGGCCTCCATCTGCGTCCTTGGGCAGCACCCACTCCCATTTCCAACTTGGGGTCCCAGGGCTGTATCCAGGCTGGGATTTAACTTAAGTCTCCATCTGGGCCCCAGAGTGCTTCTGTTGTTTCGGACCTCACTGTACCCGCTATGCGGGTGCTCTGGCTACACCCCAGCTCGGAACTCCCCGTCCTTCTCTCCTCCAGCTCTTCTTATCCTTATAGGCCCTATGTTGCCCCTTCCCTGGCTGGCCTGCACCCTGTCCTGCAGCCCTGTGCTCCCAGGAACCTCCCTTGTCCTCCCACCCCTCCCTAAGGTACAGCCCCCTCTCTACTGGCTTCTCTCTGTCTTGAGTTGCAAGCTTCTCCCTGCACTTGGGGTTCTCACCCCATCTTATTCCTCTCCTGGCTGCCTGGGATCTGGGCCAACCGCCAGGCCAGGGTGCTGGCTGTGCAAGGGATTTGCTCTTCTCCAAGTAGCTGGCCTTCCTGGAAATTTTTGTGAGGTGGCAGCAGCAGCAGGATTTGTCATGCGGAGGGGGAAGGATGAGACTCGGAGGGCAAAAGGGGAATTTTTTTTTCAGGAAGAGGAAAGGATGTTTTTGGTGCGTCGGAGTTTCAGTAGGCTGGGTTGTGTGAGAGATTTCCAAACCGGACGTAGCCGTAATGAATGGGCTGCCTCCTGCCTAGCTGAACCTGCAGCTGCTTCACCCCAGCAAGCTCCCTGGTGTCTCTGGGCCTCAGTTTCCTTTTCTGTAAATTGGAAGTAATCACACCTGCTTCTGTGGACGCGGGAGTGTGGCGTGGGGTGGTGAATACAAAAGAGCTCTGAGGTGTTCACTCAGCATAGCGCCTGGCGGAGAGCCGGTGCTCACCAGGGGACACTGGCTGCACACATCTCGCTATTGTTTCCATTCTTCTTGCTGGAAAGGCCTCCACTGCTGGAACTGCAGCCGCAGAGTGAGCAGGAGGAAGCATCTAGCAGCGGGCACCTAGTGGGCCCCTCATCGGGGATCAGCCGCTCTTCTGCTCTGGAGGGCGCAGGCCAGTGGGAGCCCTGTGGGGGCTTGGGGAGGGCACGGGCTCTTCCTGGCCCCTGCTGCTGGCTGCTGTGGTGGCTGGAGCCGGGTGGGCAGGATAATTATGCCTTACATAAGTGGGAGGCCGGATCCCTGACCATTGCCCAACCACTGTGAGTAACTCAGGAGGCACTTGAGGGGGGAGGTGTCTGGGGAGGGACTTGCACTGCCCAGACCTCGTGGAGCTTGGGAACCAGGAAATCAGACACTTCTCCACTCTGGAGAGCCTGGGGAAGGGTAGGAAGCCCTGTTTGTTTTGGAGGCTTTTTAGCTCTCCAGGCAGAGAATGCCTGATCAAAATAAAAGTTCCAGTTGCAGAGTTGTGAAGGGAGAGGGGTCATAGATGTGGTGAGAACGCTGTGAGAGGGCCAAGATGAACTTCTAGATAGGGACCCAGGTCGCAGATGAAATTGAGGGAGCTGGATGGAGGGTCAGGGACCTCCCTCAGGCCCAGCGACCCTGTAGTCTCTTTGGGATCTGGGGAAGGATGTGGTGACAGAGCCGCAATGCCCTTCACCAAAAACCCTATGAGCTTCTTCTTTTTTTCCATGTGCCATGCATTTTCTCATTTATTCCTCATAGCCCCATTTATAGATAAGGAAACTGAGGCGTTAAGTGCCTTGCCTGAGGCCACGCAGCTGTGACAGGCGGAGCTAGGGTTCCCCCTAGGACTGCATCCCCACAGTGGCCTTCCCCGTGCTCCCTTATGTGCCCCTCCCATGCTGGATGCCTGAGCTGAGCTGGTGGGGTGCCCCCACCCCTGGCCTTGCTCAGAGCATGTGCAGTGGGCCTGTCCTCATGGCCATGTCAGACCTAGAGGACAGACTGAGGCAGAGGTGCTGCTGCTCTTGTGCACAGTGCTTTACACTGGGCCTGTTGCACACTCGCTGCAAAATCCCACTCATTTGACAGATGCAGAACTGAGCTTGGATGGAGTAGCCGGACTGCTCCCACAGGTGGAGATCCTCACCCCGTGCCTGCCCCATCCTGGGCACTGGGCCTCCCAGCACTGAGCCCTTCTCCACCTTCTCAAAGGAATTTGAACAAAGCAGGGAGTGGCTGGCGCTTGACCTTACTGGAGCTTTACCTTTGAGCTTCCTGCCTTGCAGCAGGTACCCTGCCCTATCCTTCCTGCCATGGGCCTGGGGAGTTTTCCGTGAGCGTGTGAGGCCCTCAGGCCCACAGCTCTGTTGGTTTTCCCCTGGCCTTCTTGCCCACATGGCCATCTCTGGCTGGGATCAGAGGCCAAGTGGCTGGCGCTGGGGCCAGTGGGTGGGGGCATGTGTGCAAGCCACATTTGTCCTTGGAGGGTACCATGTGTGTCCTGTTGTCATTCAGAACGTGGGTTCTGCCCCTTCTGCCCTAAGAGTGCCACCTGTGGGGGCACTTCATGGCTAATCTTCACACAGCTTGGACTGTGGCTGTAGGACTCCTGACTGCCCAATGGGGTCACTGAGGTTTCATGGAGCACTGTTGTATCCTAGCCCTGCCTATTGTGGCCATCCCCCATCCCCCGGCTGTCGGAAAGACTGGAGGTGGCACCTCGGGGACTTCCCCCACCCCTCTTGTGACGCACAGGAAACTCTCTGTCAGCCAACCCATGGCCCAGGGCCCAAAGGGAGCAAAGTTCTCAGTTGGCCTGTGTGAGGAGAAGGCCGGGGCAGCGGAGGCTTCCGGCGGTGAGTCAGCGGGCACTGAGTGCTGACTCACCTGCGGGGCATGCCAGCCGGCTGCCTACAGCTTAAAGGGGCGATGCCTGCTGGCCTGGTGGGTGGGGAGGGGGTTACGTGTCCTGCAGGTGGCACCTAGCCCTGAGCTGGAGCACTGGAGGTGGCCCCTTCCTGCGCCTCGGACTAGGCTGGGAACCCCTGGGCAGGCCCTCTGTGCCCCACCCAGGAACTTCCTCTGTTAGGCAAGGGGCTCTGCTTCCTCTTGCTCACAGAGCAGGAGCAGGTGGCGGTGACTGTTTACTACCCTTGGTCCAGGGGACACCTCAGGTTCAGCTGTGCATCTGGGACTCAGGGAGGGCGAGGAGCAGAGGTTGTGCAGGGTCGGCTGGGGTGGGACCCGACCTGAGCTCCTGGAAGATGGTGATGTGGAGAGGCTGAGACCTCAGTTTCCAGAGCCTGACTGCCTGGGTTCATACCCCAGCTCTGTCCCTTTTGCGATGTGACGTGGCACAAGTTGCATCCGGTCCACTCTCTGCACTCCGTAAAAGATTTCTGTCCCCTGGGCATGGCCCAGCTCTCAGAGGAGAAGCCTCCATTTCGTCATCTGCAGACTGGGAACGGGGACCCTGCCTGTCTGGATGTAGACAGTTCCATTCCACACTTGCTAAGTGTCAGGCACGAGTCATAGTGAGACTGCCCTCTGCCCACAGAGAACCCAGCCGAGGCACGCCTCTGCCAGGCAGGAAGCCTGGGGGCCTGGGCTCTGCTGGGAGGGGCCTGGGTTCGAATCCTGGCTCCACTACTTCCTTACCTGGGTAAGTCTTGTGCCCTCTCTAGCCCTCAGTCTCCTCTTCTGTAAAGTGGGAGTAAACACCCTTCCTTGCAGGGTAGTGGTCGAGCTTGAAGATAGCATTTGGCAAGTGAATGGCATCTGTTATTATTTTATTATTGTTACTTTTGTGAGCGTAGTTCGTTGGTAGGTGGATAAACAGTAACAGGGCTTCGTGGCGATGGGCTCGTAGGTGCTGTGATGCGAGGCCTCTTGGCAGCAGGGTCCTTTCATGCAGGCCAGAGTTTACCAGGCTTTAGGGCCTTTTAACCCACTGGTCCCCAAGGTGGGGGCTGGGGACTGCCACTGGCCTCCTGGGCCTTCCTGGGGAGGGCAAGTGGGGAACAGAGAGCTGCCCTGCCCCAGGCTTTGGCATGCAGCATGAACAGGATGGATGCAGGGAAGGTGGGGTGGGGCCTGGAATCAGGACGCAGGCCCCTGGGCCAGCCTGGGAAGCAGGAGGGCCTGGGATTGTGGTTCTGGGGGCTCGGTCCTGAGTCAGGGGTGTTGGTGGCTTAGGAGGGGTCCCAGAGGAGGGCTGCCGGGCCGTAGCGTGGAGGACACCGCATCGTGGCAGGGCCCCACGACTGATGCCCACATGCCGCCCATGCCTGCCCTTGGCCGTGCCTCCTGGCGCTGCCCACCTCCGTCAGGCCTGTCTGCCCAGTGGCTTCTGCAGATGCCTCCCCAAAGCAGTGGCCCTGGAAACCTCAAACAGCCTCATGTCAAGGGCATGAAGGCCATATAGGGCCGGGGGAGGCCGAAGCAGCTTGCTGGGCCCCTTGCAGCTTCCAGATACCAAATCTGACTGCAGCAGCTCCAGAGAGGGCCCCAGGTGTTCTTCCCCTGACCCCAGTCCTGGGCGCATGTCCCTGTCACCTCCCTGCCCTGCATTCCAGGACCACCCTCCCTGGTTTCTCTGGGGAGGCCATGTCCAGCTGACCCTCTCCCAGCTGGTCCCCTGCCCAGGGTGGCCGGCACCACCTTCTGCCATGTGGCCCATGGCCGGGATTGCACCTGGCTCTGCTGACGCCTCCTGGTGGCTGTATGGAGTGCCC